GCAAACAGAGAACAAAGAAGGTTCCTGCTCAAGAGCTTAAAATCCGAAGGTAATCTTAAAGTTGGGTTTGGTCAAGATTTCCTCACTATTTCCAAACTATTGTACAGTCAGATGTAGTTGAGTGATTTATTTAGATTTCCAGGCCCTACATGCTTCAAAATGGTAACCCATCCAATCTGTAGGAAAGGTGATGTACGTACACAGAAACCTTATTCTGACACGTGTTAAGAAAAGTGTTAGAGCAGCACAGCAACTTCCCTTCTTAAGCAAAACAGCTTTTGTTTTGTTCTGCAAAGATGCCTGTGCAACTCTCCTTCTTGGAAACACACACCAGATGCGTTTTGCCCTGGTTCTGGATCTCACTCTGACTTCTTAGCAGCTAAGAAATTGCTTTTCTGAAAGAGAATGTTTAAGTAGTTAATCATTAAGGTCTGCGGGGTAATCTTGGAGAGAAAAAAATAATTGAATTAACAAGGCTTTACAATATTCAGTTATTTCAATTTAGCCATTTATTTATCTTGAGGGTGCGGGGATATGAGGTTGCTCTGTGTGCAAATTAGATTCTGGGAGTTGTAGGTTTCTTCAAATACAGACTTGCTAAAAGACAGACCGAAGGGTAGGAGTTTAAGGAAACTCCAATTTCTTACCACCCTGTAGTTTTCCACCCTCAGGTAAATATGCAGAGACTGTGCTGGGAGCTCTGTCATGTCAGTGCCTGGTGGAGAGCACGCCAGAAGTTCAAACCATTGTGCTGATTGTGGATGTAAATTCAAAAGGCTCCTCTGCCTCATGGTCATTCTCTTTCCAATAGTCATACCTTTGCCTTGACAATGAAGGATGGAAATTAAATCTGATAAATGCAACTCTTAACTCAAACATACGAGTATCTAACCAAGAAGTTGTCATCTCTACCAGGACCTGCAGCAGTCTAAGGAAGGATTGAACAGCAATTAATCCTCTTCTGCTAAGCAGAGGAGGGGCTTGCATAGGATGTGCAACTGCCTAGCTCGTGTCCTTGCCAAGGAGCGTTGGATTCTTGGCTTGTTCCGAGTGAATATCATGGCGATCTTAAGAAACTTGAACTAGATTGTCCCTGACATAGCCAGTGTGCCATGAAGTATTGGTGAGAACCCCCTCACAGGTGCCTCTGTTTCTAGCTGGTCCTTTCTGTTGTCTGCAAGGAATCACAAAATCACTTTTAGGTCCTGTTGGGGCTGAGGGTCGATGTGTGGCCCCTCATGAAACAGGCTACTGGGTCTGATTTGTTTTTTCCTTTTGCCACTAAGAAACACAAACAATTCTGAAAAAAAAAAAAAAAAAGAAAAAGAAAAAAACCCACTAAAACAATGAGAGAAAAAGGATAAAGAGGGCACAATATTAGTGCTTTGATTACAGGTGGCTTGCTGTAACAGTGTGGGGCAGGAGCTGAGCCGTTAGCAAAGAAGAGGGAGGAGGGAATCCTGATCCCAGAATGGGATTTTTCAACAAATTCCCTGATAGGAAGAATCTACAAGTCAGCAAAGTGTGTGTGACTTTGCTAACTCCAGAAAGCTGGAGGGCATCACTCCCTGTGGATGCTATGAGAATATTAATTGGTGTTTAGCATTCTGTTAATTTTACATGGAAACAAGCATAGCCATAGGTCCCCATCGTAGGTTAGAGAAAGGACTAGTGTCACTGAGCGTGAGAGCCAGGAGAAAAGGAATAGAGAGGTAGAAGAAATGGCAATATGACTGAGATGTGAAGTGTAGGAGGTAGTTTAAGGCTTAACAGTAGTGTGAAGGAACGTGGATGAAAAAGCCAGGAGTAAGCCCGTAAGAGGGATGCGTGCATGGAGAGGAGCAGGTGCTGGATAAGCAGAGCAGAATAGCACAGGCAGTGGAGTTGTTTCAGGTCTTGGGGTAGGTTTAAATGCGGTTTCATAGCATGAAAAATGCTACTAAAGGGTCAGGTGCACGTAGCGCGTACCCACAGCAGCTCGCCATGTGCCCCTCTGCGCGTGCAAAGGGACATAGGCATAAACTGCAGGGTGAGATATTTGAGATAAATTTTACCGTGTATTTGCAGGGAACTGGTTTAATGTGAATGTTGGTTATCACAGCCTGACTGTTAGTCACAACTTCTTATCTGGCAACTCAGCCATGTGTTTCAGCCTTCTTGTAACATCCAGCCTACAATCCATTGGAAAGATGCTCAAGCAAACACCGCGGACTGTGTTGCCAAATTGTTATATAGTCACGCGGTTACGTTGGTTTTTGGGGACTGACCCAGCTCTTGTCTGTGTTGGCTCAGGGATCTTTACGCTGTTCCTCGCTGCACAATATTTGTATGCCGAATGTGAATTAATGATGATGGGAGTTGTGTGGAAAGAGAAAAGAAGCTCGCTTTAAATAACCTTAATACTTCGAGGTTGTTTAAACCGTAGAGAACAGCCTATAGCAAAACAGGTAATGTGTTTGAAGCAAGATTATGGGTGATGGGTTTGTTTTCACTGGGAAAGAGAAATTCTGAGATGAGATAAAGGAGACTTTCACACTTCTGGAAGGATTAATAGTCAGGGCAAGCTTTCCAACCTAGGCATCCCCTGCTGTGGGTAGAAAGCGATAATGTGTGGTAAAAGTGTGGATTCCTCAATGACTGAATTTTAGGCTGGAAAAATATGATATTGACAATATTGGAATGGCTATAAAGAAGATAAACTTATTCCCATTCGGACATTCAGGGGCGAGGGAGCACTGCTTATTAATAGCATAGCATTGCTCTGAAGTGTAATCTGAAATACAGGGAACTAGAAATAGGTGAAGAAGGGTGGAGCAGGGGTGAGTAGCTCATACAGGGGGTAACTAACATCTTAAATTATTAAGGGATGTAACTGAAGCAAAGAATTCCAGAGCTATGTAGGCTGGCTCCTAGAGAAGGAAGATCCTGAGCTGTCTGCTGGAAGGAGATAGACCAAACCCCTAAAAGGTACAGTAGGTCTTAATAATCTTTTCTTTTTTTTTCTTTTTAGTTTTGTGCTTGTTGGGTTTGGGTTTAGTTGGTTTTGGGGTTATTTTTTGGTTTGTGTGGGTTTGGTTTTTTTTTGGTTTTTTTTTGTTTTTTTGTTTTTTTTTTTTTTTAATTAAGATCACTGCAGGATTTGTGTCCTATGCTGGCACTTGGTTTTTTTTACCTTATTCAAATATTTGTAAGGAAAAAGGCATTTGACCTGCAAATAGACTTGAAGTACTTGTTTATTAATATAAAGGAATGAGACCGTGCAAGGGAGTACAATGTACATGTGAAGGTAACTGAATCAGGACCTCTGGTGGCAAGCAAGCAAATGGGAATTTAGTGGGTTTATTTATGTCTGCAGGTTAAAATAATTGATATTTTCTGATCAGGGAAGTCTCTGGACTATGGTTAGTAGGAAGCCTTTCAATTTGTGATTGAAATTCCTCAGCAAGGGTGCACAGAATTATGTCTGTCTTTGCCGTGCTCAGCTCCAGCCAGTTTTATTAATGCACTGGTGGGTTCCTCTTAATTTCTTAACTTTTTAGCCACTCCTGTGAGTATTTTGGTCCAGATGCAATGGGCAGTTAGCAATGAAGGACATTTATGTGCATCGAAAAGCTGTAACTTTCATGGCCTTTACCCCCAAATCAAACCATGGTTTCTGTGCCCCATCTCTCCTGCTCAGCCCCTGCCCAGGTGCACACACACATCCAGGTGACTCCCAAAAGGCAGACAGAGATTTTGGGAAATGCCTCTGACCCCTCATCAGTCTGGTCCATGGAACTCTGTAGGGCAGAGGAGGGAATCCCAAAGCTTTTGCCTAGCGATGCACAGATTTTTGTGTCAGTAGTTTCCAATCTTTTATTCTGGATCTGTAAATTCCCTGAAAAAAAAAGTCCAGTGGCAATGTGGACCCCACAGTCATAGAGTTAAACCTGCAGATGGTAGATTTTTTTTTTCCAATTACTTTTCACAGGCTGTTTAGAAGTAGTTTGTGAGATTTCCCTTGGGAATCTCCTGCCAGGGATTGCTGGTCACTGCTGGTGGTGTCCTGCGGAGTCAGAGGAAGGAGAGAGGCTCCTGCAGAAAGGGATCCAGAAGACAGTTAAACTAATTGCCACTGGGAAGAGAAGGAAAGGAGAAGAAATGTCCCTTGGGAGAAACCAAACAATAGAAGAGAAGGCAGATTAAATGGAGTCCTGAAACAAGTAGGAAGCTTGCACCTTGTTCCATCTCTCGTTCTTGCACGGCCGCTCCTATATCTTTCTTACTTTTCTCAGTTCATGCCAAAATCATAAAAAACAGGTAATGCCACATTCCACACCGTGGAGATGGAGCAGTTGGAGTGTGACAGAGGGAATAAATCCTGAGGGACAAAGATAAAATGAGGTTTGCTTGAGAGGGGAATCTTCAAATAGGAGGTGCCTCTATCTGTCACACCTGCAGAATTCTTAACAAGTCATCACAGAGCAGTGCATAGTCCTGATGCAGTCTGGGATGTGCAATGCAGTGGAAATGTTCCACTCAGAAAACATCACTGTC